AAAAAAAAAACCACTCTTTATACCGTGCAACACGAGAAACAAACTGCCCTTGGGCTGATACTCGTATACCAGCAGCTTCTCGTCCTTCCTGTAATGATACGCCAGCGGCGTCAGCAAATTCTTGTGCCTCAAACTCCCGAGCCTTCTCACCTCCGAGTCGAACTGCTCCTTCCCCATCTTCGTCGTCTCCTTCAACCTCTTCACCACCACCGTCAGCCCACCCGCCATGCTCGCCTTGTAAGACGACCCCAAAGGCCCGTTCCCCAAAACCTCGGCCGCCGCCTTCATCAAATCCCCTAGCCCAAACTCTCCCTTCTCCTCGTTTATCATCACCATATCCCCAACCCCCTTACCCAGCCTACCCGACCCTTTTCTCCCCGACCCGGTTCGACCCGTCTCTAGCGCCTTCCATCCCCTCGCGTCTCCGCCGCCCCCAGAAATCGCTCGCGGGATGCTCTGCTCGAAATTGCCCTCGGCTGTACTCCTGTCCTGCCTCCGTTTCAGCACGTATATCCCGATTATCATGAGGGCGAAGAGGACCACGAGGGACGTGAACAGGGCCCAAACGGCAATTTTCATTCTGTTTGCCTTGTCGGGGCACGGCCTGCCGAGGTACGCGCCGCAAAGCCCGGGATTGCCCGAAAATGAGTCCGGCCCGAACCTCGACAGGCCCGCGGGGAGTTCGCCGTCGAGATTGTTGTTGGAGAGGTTGAGTGAGACGAGGCTCGGCTGGTCGAGCGTCGGGATTGGGCCCGTGAACCGGTTGTTCTCGAGGTGGGCCTCGACTAAATGGGCCGGGCGGGCTAGGGAAGGTGGGACCGGGCCGGAAAGCCCGTTCCCGGACAGCCAAACTTTTCTCAGGGCCTCTAATTTTGAGAAATAGTCGGACGGGATCTCACCCGAGAATTTGTTTGTCGATAGGAACAGGGCCCGGAGATTGCCGAGTGGGCTGAAATCGGGGAGCGGGCCCGAGAAAGAGTTGGACGTGAAGCTGACGATTCGGAGGTGAGGAAGAGATGACAATGCGTAGGCGTCTATAGTTCCCGAGAGGCCCAAGTTGCCGAGGCGGAGGCCCGTGACAAGGCCATTCGCGCAATTTACGCCGGCCCAATGATTGTTTTCGGCGCACGGCTCTGTCCCAGGCTTCCACGAGTCGAGAGCGGATGCGTTTGTCAATGATTGTTTGAGTTTCAGAAGAGCTTCGGCTTCGGAAACAGAACTTGTTGCCGGGATTATGAGAAGAAAAATGTAGAAAAAGATGGATGATCCAAGAACATGAATAATGGCCATAATGGATTTTGAATGAAAGGGGGAATTAGCTGTGGAACAAAGAGAGCTTAACAAAGGGTTAATTAATTGCTTATTTGCTAGTTTTCTTGATTGTTTACTTTGGAGATGATTTTGGTGGGGGAGGTAAAGAGGATTTTG